TTCACCCTTACAGATTTTTTCCCTTTTGGGGGCAACAACATAGTACCTGTGTAAGCAGAGGAGTGATCTACTTAAAATCTAAGAACTCAGTGTTCACTGGATGTTATATTACCTTTGTCTGATATTAAAACTTCAGCTGAAACATATAAGTTTGATGGAGGAAATACTTGTTTACAGGACAGCATGTTTGACATTGTTCAGTATTTCGTGTAAAATCTTTCCTTTAAGCTCCTGGTGCAACCAACCTCTGGTCATGATATAAACTCATAAAATTTGTACTTTTAAATGTCTTTATTGTGAAATTTGTGCGTTCATAATATTGGTAGTAAAATGATTCCTACCTAGAGCAACAAGATTGCTGCAACTGCCTCCTGTGTTGCACTGATATATCCGTCCCCTTTTATTCCCTTCATACTGTAGTAGTGGGGCGCTGACAAGCAGACTGAGAGAAACACAGACGAACATTGGTTACAACATATTACAAAAGTTTTTAAAAATTGAATCGAGATGACTCACTCTGATTGTCTTTGCACCACCTGGTAGCCAAAACTTTCATCATTTTCTGTCAGGGTTTTCCAAGCCCCAGAATCAACGTTAAAGCCGACTGCAGCTTTTAGCACTGAGGAAAAAAAGAACAGAATTTCTTTAATTCAAAGCTATTATGGTTTTTCTTTTACTATTTATTAGGTTATTCTGTTTTAATGACTGAGTACGGTGATATTTTGGAGAAGAATGCAGGAGAGAACAGATATGTTCTGCAATGTCAGTGTTTAACCACTTGAAAGCACTAAAGACCAAACTTCAAATGTCACAAGAAACAGGAACAATAAAGTTTAACAGTGTAAGTTGAATATTGCAGTCAGGTTTTAATATTTAAGTTGTATCATGCAACTGGCTTGTTATTTTTTTTACTGTAAAAACTGAAATAGATTTTGCTCCCATAAATGTCTTGGATTTTTCCTGTATCACAGATTCTATTTATTGGATTTTCTTTCTCCACAATCATTTTAGCTTCATATATTTAAAATTAGTAATGTTACCTTTGGTTAGATTTACATCCTTTTAGAACATCATTAGACCAACGTCCTGCCAAGCAAAACAAAGCTCTGCAGTGAGCAGGGTGAAGTCACTGAGAGTGAGAGCTGAGCAGCAAATGGGGAAAAAAAGGAAGGAGCTGGCTCTCACTTAATGGAATTTGGCTCTTCTGATTCACTACAAATCGTGTCACCTGGTGACTCTGAAGCTATCCAACTTAACAGATGGTTGAAACAGAAAAATGCCTGGATCTACCTTAAATTTGTCCAGTTGAACAAAAACAAAAGTGAAGTTATTATCTTTGAACCCAAAGTGAAACAATTTAGTCAGCTCATAGTTTCAGTTATTAGCTTCAGGGAGAAATTAGTGATGAAGCCCAAAATCTGGGTGTAGTGATTTAGTCAGATCTGAATCTTATAAAGATGGTTGCAAAATTGGCCATTTTATTGCCTGAGAGGTTGCCAGGTAATGGTGCATTTTTGTTCCAGAAGCAAGCAGAAAATGTTTCGTAAGCAAGCAGAGTGATTGAGCAGAGACCAAGTCTGAGCACGAGAAGTTTTGAGTATAAGCATTACAAGTTTTGAGAAGATAGACAATGAAGTCCTGCTTTCAAAATAAAAATGTAAAAAGTATTAAAAGTTTTGAGAACAAAAGACATAAAATCCTGCTTTCAGACTGAAAATGTGTGCTCTTGGGTTATGGCAGAAAAATTCCTCCATATACATTCAGTTATTCACCCTGGATCCAGACTTAGGAGCTGGGGTTTGAACCAGCAAACTCCTTCCACAGTCACAACATCATAAACTTTACACTTTATCTTTGAATGATATATAAAAGCTATTAAACGTTGTTCTTGCACTTCTAGGTTATTTGTGTTTTTTGTTTTGAGGCGTCTAAGAAATAATAGGTAAAACAGAAACTTATTTTATTGTCTGCAGCTTCCATCAAGTAATCGCTCTGACAGTTTTCACACTGGCAGATTATTTAAAACATCTGCATGAAGTCAGAAGACACAAACTTTCCTTACCTGAACAGAAAAGTGCCACAGTAATTATCCAGTCCATTGTGTTTCTGGCATTTAGGTCAAACTAAAAGTGTGATTTCCACTCTGGTCAGCCAATTTAAACTGAGAGGGAGTGCATTACTTTTTCATGATGTAGGAGGAGTTACAACAGGGTCACTTTCAACTCAGAAGAGAAATATT